ATATACGTAACGGTAGAGAAGAAAAGACAATCGCAGCTTCCGTTTCATGCCGACTTTAAGGTGGTTTGTTTACAATATGGCATCACCAGGTGATGCGTGTGCTATCGGGAGTTAGCACTTCCTGTGACAATTTGTTGTCATGGTAACCAATGCATGCCAGTGCAATTCAAACAGTTTAATGTCTGCATATTTCAAACAAGTTGCACACAGTTTTAAAATACGGTGCTTTCAGTCCTCCAAGACTTTGTCATATTAAATAAGCTTAAATATTATTTATTATTAAATAAGCTCTTGTTCTATCCAGGCTGGACTACTGCAGTGCTCTCTTGGCAGGTCTTTCAGCCACTTCTATCAAACCTCTACAATTAATCAAAAATGCCGCTGTAAGATTACTCTTTAATGGGCCGAAAAGAACGCACGTCACACCTTTGTTCATCAATTTGCACTGGCTACCAGTAGCTGCAAACACATCTCTTCCATCTTTATTGGACCCGCTAACTCTAGCACTTTCTATTGTACTTTAATTCTACTTTATCTATTTATCTTTTTTTATTAAAAAAAAAAACTAACACTAACTTTCTATTTTTTTTCTATTCTATCTATTTGTTTTTCTTTTTGTGTGTGTGTGTGTGTGTGTGTGTGTGTGTATATGATTTTTTTCCGCGAACCGTTCCATCCCTAATATATACGTATATATATATATATATATATATATAAATAAAATACCTTGCTATGTGTACTGCGTAAGGCTAACCGAGACTTGTCATTTGCACTTACATATTGTTGCTCTTTTGTTAGTTTTGATTGCTTCTATTGTCCTCATTTGTAAGTCGCTTTGGATAAAAGCGTTTGCTAAATGACTAAATGTAAATAAGCACTTCTGTGAGCGCTTCTCAAATTTAAACAATAAACTTGCACTTGTTTAAAGAATAACAAAACACTGTAAGTTAAAGCCGGTTTAAGCATAGAGTGTAGTCATGTGTGCCTCACACATGAATACTGAAGTACAGTATTACACCGTATCATAGTACTGAGACTGCTCTCATTAGAGTTACAAATGACCTGCTCTTATCATCTGATCGTGGTTGTATCTTTCTATTAGAGCTACTGGATCTTAGCGCTGCATTCGACACGATTGACCACAACATTCTTTTGATTAGACTAGAAAACTTTGTTGGCATTAGTGGAAGTGCATTAGCATGGTTCAAATCATACTTATCTGACTGCCATCAATTCGTAGCAGTGAATGAAGATGCATCATATCGATCACAAGTGCAGTATGGAGTACCTCAAGGCTCAGTACTATGGCCGTTACTTTTCACGCTTTACATGTTAGCCTTGAGAGATATCATCAGGAAACACAGTGTTAGCTTTCACTGTTATGCTGATGATACTCAGCTATATATTTCTTCACGGCCCAGCGAAACATACCAATTTGAAAAACGAATGGAATGCATAGTCGATATAAAAAAACTGGATGACGAGTAATTTCTTACTGCTAAATTCAGAAAAAACAGAGGTGTTAATTATCGGACCTAAAACCACCGCATGTAATAACCTAGAACACTTTCTAACACTTGATGGTTGCTCTGTCAATTCTTCGTCGTCAGTTAGCAACCTAGGTGTGCTATTTGATAGCAATCTTTCCTTT